TGACATTTACTGGCACTCTATCTGCTTAAATGTGCCGCGTTTTGAAAGGATTCATTCAGGGGATGAATAAACACGTTTCTAATATTTCCCGCCAATGACTTTATTCATTCGGCTTTAAGTCCTCCAGTAATAGTTAAGGCAATCAAGTTCACTGAACTATAAACACCTAGGGTTGGTTTTTATCACCAATTAGAGAGCATTGGGAAGTTGATCAATTTAACTTCAACAACTAAGCGATGACTGCTGACTGCATAAATAAACACATGAAATTCAGGTTTCGGGTTAAGTCATTGCTCTGGTCACCTCATTGCACTGAATGACTCTCAGGTAGTTACTGCACAATCGATCTCTACTGTCTACAGTCTTATCAGTTTGAACACAGATCCATCTGCTTTTACTCTGTTTTTATATTCAAAAAATTTTGGTAGCTGAACTATGGTTTAACACTGTTGAACGAAATATATGAATGGATATTTAGGTTAGGCCGGATATCCACACTTTCATTTTCATGTGATAAGCTATAAACATGTATACGCGTTGTAGATAACTGATCAACAAAGATAGTGTCATTATGAATATGTTGTCCACCTGAATCTTGTTGATTATTTTATTATTATTGTTCCCCTGGGTTCCTAGTGGAACATAGGGCTTCAACTACACGTCTCCACTTACTTCTGTCTTCTGCTGTACTTTTCACCTGCATCCATGTTAGTCCATACTGTTTCAACTCCTCTTCACACGATCTCCTCCATGTCACCCTTGGACGTCCCACTCGCCGCTTCCCTTTCGGGTTCCACTCGATTAATGGCCTGACGCGCGATGTCACCCAGCGGCCTCCTCAGCGAGTGTCCAATCCATCTCCACTTTCTCCTGCATATTTGGTTGGTTTGGGGATTGGTTCTTGTTTTGTTTGTTCCCATAGTTTCTTGTTGGTTCTTATTCTTTCCGGCCATCTGATCTTCAGTATAGATCGAAAACAGTTGTTGATAAAGGTCTGCAACAGGCTGTTGGAAATATTCTTTGTGACCCGCCAAGTTTCTGATCCGTATAGAAGAACTGACTGACTTGACGTTTGTATTGAAAATCCGAATTTTGTTGTTGATGCAGGCTGAGTGACGAAGATTTCCAGATTGGTTTCAGGTTGATGAATGTGTTTTTCGCCTTCCCGATTCTCGATTTGACATCCTCGTCCATTCCTCCTGTAGTTGAGACAATGCTACCTACCTAGATAAGTGAATGAAGTAACCTCTTTCAAATCCCTCCCGTTGATGGTGATTGGCGCTGGATGTTGCTGTTGTTGTTGTTGGTTGGTTATTTTCATAACCTTCGTCTTGTCTATGTTCACCTGGAGTCCTGTCTTCGCTGGCTGCTTCTTCGACCAGTTTGTCGGTTTTCGCTTGTAAGTCTTCGATTTTGTGTGACATCAAACATAAATCATCCACGCGCGAAATCCAGGTCTTCTAGGTTCTTCATGTCGGTCCAGGATTCCCTGTCTTCTCGTTTCCCACTGTCTGACGCATAATCCAGTCCACTACAATTAGGAATATCATTGGTGATAATAAGCACCCTTGTCTGACTCCTGTGTTTACTCCAAACTCCTCATTGAGTTTTCCGTTGTGGATCACTTGACATGTGCCATTGTCGTACAGCTGTTGAATAAGGTTGATGAATATTTGGGGTACGCTGATTATTCTTACTCAGCATTTATTTCTGATGTGGTAACTGTAGACAGACTATGCTTTGTGTTAATTTATTAGTGAAAAGATTCGAAGATGCTGAACTGAATGTAATAGGTACCGTATATTTGTTGTTTGTTCATGAAACAAGTAACAGACAATTCTGTCAGAAATCTGATATGGTGACGGGGATGATGAATGTCTGAGATGTGACAGGTAAAATTTGCAAAAATCTGTTTCCCCTGTAGAACATAACTTACCGAGCAGCTGAATATATGCAGTTTCAAGTATTGTGCTTTTAAACTTGGAATGATTCAACTCCAAAGGAAGGAAAGTGTCAGTTATACAATGCTATGCACCGACAAACAACGCAGACCTCGAAAAGAAAGAAGAATTCTACAGACAACCGATTGTGAAACAAATAGGCAGGAAGAAATGGAGATGGATTGGATTAGCCATACTCTGAGAAAACCATCAAGTGACATCACTAAACAAGCCATTGCTCGAGTGGAACCCGAAAGGGAAGCGGCGAGTTGGTCGTCAGTGCGAGGGTGACTTGGAGGAGGTCATGTGAAGAGGAGATGAAAACGTGTGGGCAGACTTGGAGCCAGGTGAAGACTCTAGCAGAGAACCGAACGCAGTGGAGACGCACGGCTGAAGCCATATGTTCCTCTAGGAATTAAAGGAAAGAATAATTATAATAAACTTGGAATTAAATTAAGTGTAGCACATAAATACGATAGGTAAAGTAAACGAGAGGATGAAGTAATGTAGGGGAATTAAGCTATGACAGGGAATAACACTGGACTTGAGTTCATTCTTTTGTCACTTCAACACTGGACAATATACGGCTTATTAGTCGACTGTCATTCTTACACTGAGAAAGACAAAAAAAGCTGACTTTAATAGTAACAATTTTTCGCTCCTTAGAAAAGATATCAAGACCAGAAATCTCAGCTAATTATGTTTAAGATATGAAAACTATATTCTGACTGGACAGCATTTAGACACAACAGTCCAGCGATGAACCCTTCGATCTACGTCTGCCTCGAGTGTGTGGCTTTCAGATCACGTGGGACATACTGACTCATGGCATGTCTTCGCTAGTTGTGTCATTAGAACATGAGTTCCTACAAGGTTGCTGGTACGCCTTTCTGACGAGTACCAGCAAGCGTGAAACCTAGGCTCAAAGTTTTCTACCAATTGCCTACAACCATCTAATTAATACACAACAGATTTCTTATTTCAACGACAGTTTTCGCCAAAAATATGCCAAGGTTAATTAAGTCATTTGGAGATGTCTAAATAGTAGTGTACTATTTCAGGTGTTTACATTCTCGCCAATAAAACCTACCAGCTTAGGCAAGAATAAACAACGAAATATTTACGGTTAGCATACCAACAGTAGGATAAATACAAATAACAGAATAGTGCTCAACGTAATATATTTTAGGACAACCTACACTACTGTGTATTCACCCTTTTCGAACCATGCCAACCGCCGAACGCCATCATTCATCCGGGAAAGGAGTAAGAGTGCGCCGTCGCGAGCCACCCCAGCGACTGAGACAGTCCCAGAGCCAAATCCCTGAGAGGGGTCTTCATCAATTTTCTAGTATTCACATCTCAGGACACCATTGGCGCCACCCCTTCAGCTGGTAGGAACAGGAACATCCTCTCAGAGACACATGCGCATTGGAGCCAACCAAACCTTGACTCATGGTAGAAGATCCCAACCTCCAATCCACATCCCACAGCATAAGACACTGCTCGAGACTGGCTTCGGCCAACAACTACACCAAGCTGCGCCTCGCGGTTTGGGTTACCAGCTCTAACAGCCACCCACTAAGCAGTTGTTACAAATGGTGCTCAACGTAATATATTTTAGGACAATCTACACCAATACACACAAGATGAATTACTTCCCCTCTGAACACTATCCTTGTATGCAAGAAGCGGAAAAGATATTGCTAACTAAGAGCGCTTTTTTTATAACGCTGCACACTCTGAAAGTATTTGGAGCAGAAAGAACAGTGTGCTGTCAATATCAGCACACTACATGTGGACAAATGATATCAATTCTGTTCATGGAGCCAATGGTGCAACCTTATATGATGCTACTTGACTAACAGACTACATATTGTCAAAAATTGGTTCTTCTATCTTAGTCACACTGTGCCGATCCAATAATCAGCAGCCACTGAGTTGTATTTATTTGTGATTCGTGTTTTAGCGATCTTCACATCTTACCTGTTTAAAAGTGCTGTAGTAAGCGGACTAAAATTTCCTCGAGGTGATATTAGAGAGGAAGAAATGGCTATGTCGTATTGCTAGACTTCTATTATGAGTAAAATAAAGCAGGAATTAGAGTGGCATTTAAACCTACAAACTCACTCAGGGACAAGCTGTGTAGGTTAAAGGACCTTGTCGGTTGACCCAATTAGACAAAATAATATAATTTACAAAATACCTTGCAATGACTGTGAGTAAGGTCAAGTACATAGGTCATTCAAACTAGTAGGTCGGGGGTAGTCAGATTGTCGGAACATAAGAATTTAGCTAAGGTAAGAATGGTTGAACCCAGCCATGAAGATAAGTAATTTCGAAAACAGCTCAGCACTACATTGCACTGCATGCATTAAAACACAACCGCACAAAAGGGTGGGAGAGGGTTAAAATTCTAAAAAGTAATCTAGGTTGATTGCTGAATCCTTGTTCATCGAGTTTACACTCAACACTCATAACGGAAATATGGTAAAAATACTACTACCAATTAAATCAAGCGGTGGAAAATTTTTCTCTTTTATTTATTTTTGATTATAGCTTGGTTCTACACTGTATTTTAGTTACAAGTATGGAATTTTCAGCATGGATATCGGTAGCCCAATTTTGCAGGTCGACCATAGATATCAGGTGTGCGTCGGCAGGGGATCGAACCACCCCGGACCATGTGCATGGTCGGCGAGAGTTTTAACCGCTGTGCCACCGACGAGGTTATTTGTGTGAGTAGTGCCTTGATATGATTATAAACAGTATTAAAGTGTGCTCGAAACGTTATCATAAGTAAATATTACTGTATAACACACTGCGTGTGAGACTTTATCAAAATAAATTTTACCCATAATGTAATTATACTCTACCAGCACAGTGCACAAGTTCTATTCTTAGATCAATAGTATTGCGAAATTTACTATAAGTTACACTGAAATGAAAATGAAGAATTTTTTCTGGATATACAGATACTTTTTTTTTGCCTTTTTTATTATTTAAAAAAACAATATTATTACCTCCGCTTTTGGGTTGTTTTGATTATATGCATTCCAGGAGTTTATAGAAACTTTTGATCTGGATGGGGATGGTCAGATAACTTTAGAAGAATACAAGGGTGTATTGAATATAATTCCTAAGGAAGAAAAAGAGTAAGTTATCTCTTTTTTGTTATTTATTTATTTAAGGCTAGAATAGTTCATTTCGTATTGACATTTTTGAAAAAATAAAAATAACCGCCTCCTACGCATACTTTAATGTTGACAGATATTCAATTCAAACAAAAATTCATCTGTGACATATTTATTTCTGCTAAAATTGAATTTGTACAAAGTGAGGCAGTCATTGATTTACCATTTGCCTTCGATATTGCCTTTTCAATAATGGTACACTAACAGGCTTGCATTGGTATCAAGGGCAACTGAGATGACTGCCAAGTATCGTCGACTGAAAGATTCATAGTACTCTAGTGAAATAGTGGATGTATCTGCTGAAGTTATCAAACCTTCGAAATGTCTTTCTCCATCTTGATTCAGATCTACTCCTACCTCTCTAATACTCTAGTGTTTTTTCTTAGTTTTTTTGTTCTTCGCGTTCCGAGTGGAAAATAAGACTTCAGGCTTTAATTCTCAGTAACTATGGTGTTTTTACGAGTTGATCACGGATTGATATCAGTTAGAGAACCATTGAAAACCAGTACTGGAGTACTGGACAGCTGTTTCATCCTAGTTTGCAAATCATCGGCAGTACGCACCCACCACACAGGTTCGAACACACAACCTTCCGGTCACAAGGCAAGCTAGCTCGTAGGCCATTAAGCAGCCACTGGGACCCGATTCAATGGTCAACCCATGAATTCTAACTTTCGCCAATTCATGGTTTAGCGCGACCATCAACCAATGTCGTTGGTGGGACATCCCTGCTCACACTTGACTGGATGGACCTCACTGGTCTCGACTTCTCACTGGAACTGCAGGAAACTCTGTCCTGTAGCAAGTGACTAGTGAGCATCAGATTAATTTTCTATGGTTTGGTTTGTAAGGATTAGTTTTGGTTTTACGAATTCTCTAACTGATATCAATCCGTGATCAACCCGTTAAAAAAAACTAAGCCTTACAAACCAACTATAGAGAACTATGGCGTTGTTTATACTAGGTGCACCTACTAGTCTCATACCCATATCCGTCCCTGTTTCCAGGGCTTACTGTTGGCTAGTAAGCTATGCGAGTTTTATCACTGCGTCATTTGAGAATAGAACCTCGGATTTGTTAAGTGATAGCTGAGCATTCTACCATTGGACCAAAGTCGTTGTAATGTAAACTGTCACAGTTAACATCACATGTTTTTGTTACATAATGTACTCATTGCATGTATGAGAACTGTCAAGGTGGACTGCGGTATTATGGTGTCGAATGTTCTGGGCTCAGTAATCATGCGTAGACTAAGTGGTGCTTTGAAGGCACAAACACTAGAAAACTAGGTAGGCTTTAGACCAGGAAGAGGGTGTATTGACGACATATTTACCCTTTGAGAGATTCTGAAACATAGGCATATTTATTGGCGTCCAGTAATCGTCATATTTCTTGACATGAAAGCGGCATTCGATTCCGTCGACCGAGAGGTACTATGGTGATTTTTGGTTGTGAAGGGAATGCCGAGAAAATACATCGTACTAATCAAGGCACTCTACTCGAAATCATGCAGCCAGGTGAGAGCTTAAGGCGAGTTGTCATCTGAAGTGTTGACAACTAGTGGTATCCTTCAGGGATGCCCACTGTTCCCATTTCTCTTCTTTGTGCGTCGGTGGCACAGCGGTCAGGACTCTCGCCAACCATGCACATGGTCCGGGGTACGATCCCTTGCCGACGCACACCTGATATCAGCGGTCAGCCTGCAAAATTGGGCTACCGATATCACAGGCTGAAAATTCCATACTTGTACCAAAAGTACTGTGTGGTTTCAAACTATAATCAAAAAAATAAATATGAAAAAGAGAAGACATTCAGCGAAGAGACTCTTTTTGGCGAATTCATTCACATAGCTGTACAATCGCATTTATATATAAATATTTGTGTGTGTGTGTGTGTACATGAGGTTTGTCAAGTTTAGATAATTGATTAGCTAATACAAGAATGATGTAGTATAGAGACAAAGTTAATCAGACAGCAACTAAAGTAAGATTGAGTTAAGTGACGAAGAAAATGACAAAATGCAGAGTCTTCTGAACACCTTAAGAAGGAGCAATCTTCGAATATATGACATGCGATTCGCTCGCGTCAAATGTTATATGATGCTACAGGACTGGACTGAACTACATCGACTTGCTCCTAGCTTAAAGATAGGGAGTGAAGTGCTTTGTGGAGCTTGTTGACCACTTCACTTATCTGAGAAGTTGTATCAGCCCTAACTCGTTGATCACCGACGAAATCTCAGAACTGATAGAGAATGTTGGTTTAGTATACGCCAGTTTACTCCATCTCTGGCTTAGTAGACGAGACATCTGGCTGTCGACCAAAGGGCGTGTGTACTGCTCAGCACTTCTCTCCGTCCTCTTTTATGGCTGTGAGACGTGGCTATTCAAAGTGGGAGATATGAAAAGGCTAGTTATCTTTGATCATAAGTGTCTGAGTTCTATCCCCCAAGTTAGATGGTATAACAGGGTGAGTAATATTGAGGTTAGGCGTTGAGTCTCAGGCAAGAATGCAAAATCAGTCGATGAGGTTGTGAAGCTACATCGATTGAGATGATTAAGGATATATGTTACGTATGCCTAGCCATCTCCTTCCTCGACGGAGAATGTTGGCTGATATAGGGTTGGGTTAGAGAAGAGCCAATTGTAGTCAAATGAAAACATGGTGGCAATCCATTAGATCTCTGACAGTTACTCAGAGATACATGGGAATATGTAGACTGTTTGTTAGGGTCCTTGGGATGCCAAGAATGACCTGCTTGACACGGCTCGAAATCCCATATTAGTTTGTTTATTAGATGTATCACACACTGAGTGAAACAGTATTATTTACTGGACGACAAGGTTTCGAACACAATTCACTTATTGTTCATAATCATTTCATCAATTATAATAACATGACTTCGAAACTTGAGTTTTATAGTTTTCTTTGTTCTCTCCTCTTTGTCGTCGTAGGGGTAGTAGAATTTTCCAGGTATCTGGTACAGATGTTGAATCATTCCTGCTATGTGTGTTTGCAGTTGATTCTATAAACAAAGCTTCCGTTATCAATCTCTCCCTCCACCCTGTGACATTAGATTTTAAAACTGTCACATCATCCCATCCTATTGTATGGTTGTGTGTAATTGCATATAGTGAGTGGTATAGCTGAATTATTCTCTACATTTCTTATCTTATTTGGGTCAACCAATCTAGATTTTGCTAGGTTTTATGTTCAGCTAGTCTGACTACCTCTGTTCTACTACTTCGACCCATGTATTTAACCTGATAATCATTTCAGAACTAAATTGTTTTGTTTTAAAGGCTCCACAGGATTAATCCATTAACTGACAAACCTTGTTTCTAATTGAATTTGTCGGTTTGAATGCCACTTTTATTCCAGCCAGCATTGTTAAGAATTCTGTGTAAGGTTTCCGAGGTTCCTTCCTTGTATGGAATTACTACTGATGATTTAGATTCCTTATTGTTAGTGTTGTCTTGCGCATGTCTGACACTCATGTCGTCATTATTATTACTACTACTATTATGACTATCACTACTATCATTATTTATTTTATTTTTGCATTTCCCTACATATTTCCTCACAAATTTATCAGAGTAATTATTAAGTTTTAAGGCTTTTCTTATATGCCTCACTTCCTGTCTTAGATTTTCCTTCGTACTACTTAGTTTTTGTGCTCTGTCATTTAAACATTTCACCAATCCTATTTTTACTGGCATAGGGTGGGATGATCGGAAGTCCAAATATCTGTTTGAATGTGTGGGTTTCCTGTAAATACTAGTGTTTAACTTCCCATCTTCTTTCGTTTTTACGTTGCAATCTAACATTGGAAGCTCCCCTTCCTGACTTTCGATTTAGTAAGTGAACTGAATTGACTCCACCTTTAAGTTGATATGTTCGAAAAATCTATCTTTTTTTGTTCCAAGTACAGTGAGTGTGTCATCTACATACCTTCCCCATACTTTTGAGGTGGGGCTGAACGTTGCGATCACTATGTTTTCCCACTTATCCATGAATATACTCGGCACAACCGGGGATATTGGTGAACCCACGGCATGTCCCTCAGTTTATTTGTATATTTTCCCTAGGAATTTAAATACTGTGGAAGTCAGGCATAGCTGCATTATGTCCTCAAGTGGCACTTTCGTCCTAAGTTCGAGTTCTTGGTCAGAGATGAGTTCGTTCCTGACTGCCTCTATAGCCATATTTATTGGTATGCGTTTATATAAACTGATAATGTCAAAACTAACCATTTTTTCTTCATTATCTAATTTTAAATTATCTAATCTGTATGTTTTAGTTCATAAGAATTTTTTAGTCTAGATTTCGAGTGGTTTCTAAGGGGATTTAATACCATGGCTACATATTGAGATAATTCATATGTAGGTGAATTTCTAAAATCAACTATAGGTCTAATAGGTTATCCTGACTTATGAATTTTAACAGCACCATACATCCTACTGGGGTTATTAGTTTTGGGCATTAAATTAAACCACTTAGACTCACCTAGAAACGGCTTCATTCGGCGTATAAGATCCGCTGTGGATTTCTTAACTTTATTCATAACTGTGTCTATTGATTTATTGATTTCTTCATATGGTCCTGTTTGTATGTGAGTGTTTGTTGTTTAATACTACTGTTGCATTTCCTTTGTCTGACTTTGTGATTACTATATCCTTGTTATTCTTAAGGTGTTTCAGGGCTTCTATCTCTGGTTTTGTCAGGTTAGACTTTCCATGTTTTGTCGTTTTAATGTCTGTGCACATTGTGTCCGTACTTCGTCGTAATACTGTTTCACTCACTGTGTGATACATCTAATAAACAAACTAATATGAAATTACTTACTACCACAGTGCCCAAGTGTTACACATATATATTAATGGCTCGAAATCCTTCCCACTGTTGCAGGTGCATTCCTTGTGTGCGATCCAATAAAACTCTACTGTTCTTCCATGTTGCGATTCTTTCTCTCTCACACATTTCTGCTTATTATATTTCTTCCGAATATCTTCTGTCTCTCAATCCTCTATCTTTGTGTGCTACATAGAATGTGGTACCTTGAACTACTGCACCTTCGTGCAAAGTTCTGTGTGTTGAAACAAGTCAGTTAGTCGATTAAGCTGGAAATTTTATGCGTTTATAAATGATAAGCAAGATGTACGTAAAATATATGCGTAAAACTTGGGCACTGTGGTAGTAAGTAATTCCATATTTGTTTGTTTATTAGGTATATCACACAGTGAAACAGTATTATTTACTGGATGACATTTCGAACAAAATTTATTGTTCATAATCATATCAATTGTGATCACACGACTTTGACACTTGAGTTTTATAGCTTTCTTTGTTCTCTCCTATTTGTCGTATGGGTAGTAGAATTTTCCAAATATCGGGGACAGGTGATGAATCATTCCTATTACATGTATTTGTAGTTGATTCGATAAACAAAGCTTCTGTTATCAATTTCTCCCTATACCCTGTGACATTAGATTTTAAAACTGTCATCCTATCCCATCCTACATTGTGTGGTTGTGTGTGACTGCATGTAGTGCTATAGCTGAACTATTCTCTAGATTTCTTATCTTATTCGGGTCAACCAATCTAGATTTTGCTAGGTCTTTATGTTCAGCTAGTCTGACTGCCCCTGACGACACCAACAATAAAGAATCTAAATCATCAGTAGTAATTACATACAAGGAAGGAACTTCGGAAGCCTTACGCAGAATTCTTAAAAAGGCAGGAATAAAAACGGCATTCAAACCCACAAACTCAATTAGAAACAAGCTTTCTCAGTTAAAGGATATTGTGGAGCCTTTAAAACAAAACAATTTAGTTTACGTAATACCCTACTGGAATGATTGTCAGGTCAAATACATAGGTCAAACTAGTAGAACAGAGGCAGTCAGACTAGCTGAACATAAAAACCTAGCAAAATCTAGATCGGTTGACCCAAATAAGATAAGAAATCCAGAGAATAGTTCAGCTATAGCACTACATGCAGTCACACACAACCACGCAATGTAGGATGGGATAGGATGACAGTTTTAAAATCTAATGTCACAGGGTATAGGGAGAAATTGATAACAGAAGCTTTGTTTATCGAATCAACTACAAATACATGTAATAGGAATGATTCATCACCTGTCCCCGATATTTGGAAAATTCTACTACCCATACGACAAATAGGAGAGAACAAAGAAAGCTATAAAACTCAAGTGTCAAAGTCGTGTGATCACAATTGATATGATTATGAACAATAAATTTTGTTCGAAACGTCATCCAGTAAATAATACTGTTTCACTGTGTGATACACCTAATAAACAAACTAATATGGAAGATGTACATAAAGTTTTTTTCACATTTATTGTATTCACTATCATTCTATAGGTCAGCTGTCTGGCGTTCTGTTTTCAACGATATGGACAAAGATAATTCTGGAAGGATTTCTGTCTCAGAAGTTGTAAGTCTACTACAAGAAATGGGCTATGACCTGCAAACAAGTCAACTCAGTGAATGGATGACTCGAAATAAAATAAACAAAGACAATGGGATGGATTATCAACAGTTTTTGAATTTTATGCGTCGACCTTAAATATATAATTTCAGTGTACAATGAAACTCAGTGTCATAGAATTTTATGTGTCTTTTTTTGTTTATTTTAATTGATGTGTTCTGTTGTTAAGCTGTCATTAACTTGCAACACTAAGGCATTTCTGTCGTCTAAAACATCTTTGTTTAAATATATATACATATATGTGTGTTGTCAATAAATAGCTATCTATTTAAATGTAGACTTCAGTTTGCATACTGATGCATTTGAAATAAAAAAGAAGAATGGATATTGAACAAAGAATAAATACTCTTTTCGATGACTTCATCATTAGGCTGTACAGTTATGTATACATTATAGTAAATGAATGAATGAACTAGTGTTATGAACAAGATTAATACTGTTTAAATAATATCGAATCAATAATATTAACGGATTACGGCTGAATAGCATCAACATAAAATAAGCTGAATGTCAGAAAAATTAGGAAAGGTAATATTACAAATTCATGAATTTATGGTCTCCACTGAAGGTCAGTCAGGGCAGTAGTAGTGGCTGGTTGGACTTGCTTCTTCTGCACACAAAGCACTGGTTGTTTGAAGCCAATTGCGATAGCCTCTACTGTTTGGAGTATGCGGCGCCTGGATGCTTTTGGCAATTTATTAGGCAGCCGGTTGAGGACGGAGAAGGATTCTTCAATGCTGGCTTTATGGTTGGCCGGTTTCTACCAGATGGTCTAATATTGAACTAAATCAATACACATTTAAAAGGTAGAAATGGTTAGAATAAATTAATTTTACAAGGATAACACGTAATTAAAGGTGAAGTGGTCAAAATAAAAATAAAATAATTTGGACAATTATAATTTTTATAGTTTTCAAAGGTTTAGGGGAAGGGGGGCGACGTAGTCCTGTTTATGCTTTCTTGTAACGTTGGCCACGGTAAGGAAAGTGGCTGTACAAATTTCTTTTGAGCACATAGGCTTGGCTTCTTCAGGTGGATTCCGATTGCCTCAGCTGTCTGTAGAAGACGACCTCGTAGAGCAAAGTTAAGATTAGTCGAGATGCGATAAATAATTTTAAATGCAGTATTGACATCAACTTTGTGCTCAGTAACAACAAGGTGCGCTAAAATAGAACTACGAATAGATTTTGTTTGTCCCTTACTTAACCATGATGGATGATGTTCGGAAATACGACAATGAACCTGCCTAATTGTACGCCCAATGTAGCTGGCTCCGCAGCTTCAGTCAAACTGGTAGATACACATCGAAATGTCAATGGTTTTCACTACACCGTTACTAAGCCATACTGGGAAATGTTCTCGAGCATGAAAAATCAAGTTCCTAGAGCAAAGGCTGATGTAACTCACTCCACAGGCACAGTTGAATTGGTAGATACAATTTGAAGTGGCTAGTCTAGGTACTTCATCTTTTAGTCGAGGAATCACCATCGGTCGTGTGGAGAATAATACGTGTAGTTCGCCAGCATTAAAAGTTCTTTGAACTGATTTTCTTAATTTCTTCTTAATTATCTCGCTTGGTATATCGCCCATGAATTGTAGTCGTACATATAAAGGCTTCTTGTTCACGGATAGTGAGTAGTCCTTTTCCACTTTCTTAATCATGTCTTCCGTGATAAATTTTTCGGGATAGCTATTTTCGACCAAAGTATCCTATACAATGCTTAATTCATCTTCAATTGCTTCTTCTCAGCATATAACTCTTACCTCGTGGCTGAGGGTCTTTACTAAATTTCTTTTGTACTTGAGGGGAACGAAGCTCTGACAATGTGTATATTGTCCTGTCCAAGTATTTGTTCTATGCAAATTTCTTTTCATGCTACCATCTGGTTTTGTTGTATGGAGGTCATCGAGGAAGGCAATTCTGTTTTGGGATTCCTCTTCGCACGTGAATTTCATAGCCGAATGTACTTCATTGAATTTTAAACGGTATTAATGTTGCTGATAACATTAATTCATTCATTCACTATAATGTATATATAACTGTAGAGCATGATGATGAAGGGGTTATCGAAAAGAGTATTTATTCTTTGTTCAGTATCCATTCTTTTGTAAATTTTAATGGGCATTTTTAATCAGTTAAAAAAAAGAAGAAAATGTTCTGTTTTATAGTGATTAGAATTTAAACTAGGAGATAAGGTGACATTTAGGCAAAGATTAAGATCAGAGATCTTAAGCAATTAAGATCTTAAGTACCAACTAAATGCCAAAGGCAAGTACACGCTGACTCCGTTTTCCCTGGATAAATCAAGTGAGATTTCAATAGTTGCATGTCAACGTGACAGATTCACGTCAACTCGTGTATTGACTGTTGCATAAAACACTTAGTATATTTTATTACGTCCAAACCATTATCGCTTGAGATGCTTGAGGCGTAACTGCAAACTTGAGGCGAAAGAAATGAGTTCCTTCGGGACTGTAGACACTCCCTGCATGTTAGGGTTGTCCAGACTTTGAGCAACTTCAAAACAGTTTATGGATACTGGCTTAGGCTAAATAAGGAAACAAGCCAATCAAATTGTGTCAACAGATTTATAAATACTGGAGACCTAGATGCACGGATATGTTCTCAAAGCATTGCGGTCGGGGAATATTCATTCCAGGTTACTTTGGAAACAGTTGATACCAGTCGGAGTACCATAACAGTGTTCTTTTCACTGCAGAAGGACAACCAGTGTTGGCACTGACTCAAAGATCTGAGTTTCTATTTCTTTGAGAATATGTAAAATATTTTTCATGTAGGTAAACGATGGAGATTTATTAGGGTTACCTTTCAAAGGTGTAGTCTTCCAATTTATTAAAATATTATTATTGTTTCCTTTAATTCCTAGAGGAACATAGGGCTTCAGCAATGCGTCTCCATTGCGTTCGGTTCTCTGCTAGAGTTTTCACCTGGCTCCAAGTCTGCCCACACGCTTTCATCTCCTCTTCACATGACCTCCTCCAAGTCACACTTGCACTGACGACCAACTCGCCGCTTCCCTTTCGGGTTCCACTCGAGGGCTGTAGTCTTCCAATGTGCCTACAATACTGCTCGACCGATTTAAGTCAACCTATCTTACTTTCAGGGCTCGTTGATCTGCTCACAGAATTAAATCGTTCAAAAACGCATCAGCATTAATGAGAAAATCCTGATTAAAAAAAGACCCAAAACACTACTGGTGTGATTTTTGTTAATTCAGTAAACGAATTACTGTGCATTTATCTACAATCTGTTCAACAAGGCCTGAGACCAATTAACATATATAAACGGGAATATATAACCTGTCATTCTGTCAGAAGTAACGAGTTAGTGTAAACAAGACATGCTTATAAGCTAATCATCAGTGTAATAGAATCAGGACAAAGTTATTTGATTTTCAGAAGTTGGTTTGTAAGGATTAGATTTGTTTTTAAGAGTTTGACCACGGATTGATATCAGTTAGAGAAGCATTGAAAACCAGTACTGGAGTACAACTGGACAACTGTTTCATCCTAGTTTGGGAATCATCGGCAGAACGCAGTCCGATTCAATGGCCAACTCATGAATTCTAACTTTCGTCAATTCGTGCTTTAGCGCGACCATTAACCAATGTCGTCTGTGGGGCATCCATCCTCACTGGTCTCGACTTCTCACTAGAACTGCAGGAAACACCGTCCTGTAGCATTGATACCATGGATATCAATCTGTGGTCAAACTTGTAAAAGAGGTATCTGAATGTATTTGAATAGCCTTGGGATATTCTCCTTAACAGGGGGTGGGGAAATGTAGAATCTGAGATTTCTCTAATCTTTTGTCTCTAATTTGTGAAGAAACTGTACATTTATAGCTAAGGTTCAGGTCGATGAAATAAAAATACTTTTTTTCAGCACTGGGCACTCATAAGAGCGAAACTTTAACCATCAGTGTACTGAGCAGCTAATGATCAACCAAAGAATTCGCATTCTATTGATGCGAAATGATGGAGACAAAATAAATCTGGGAGTTGCAGCTTTATAGGCGACATGATAAACGATATATATATGTAGGTGTGTACAAATGTATATCAGTTCTGTCTGTCTGCCTGTTTTCGACATAGAACTTTGCACAGATGTGCGGCAATTCATGTCGCCACACTCCATGTTGCACACAAAGCAAGAGAACAAAGTAGGAGAAATGCATAATGTAGACAGTAAACAGAGGTGTCAGACAAAGGAATAGTAATAACGAAAAACAAAACAGTTTCATTGGAAATCATAAGTCACAAGGAGTGGATGCATATGTGCCAGCCATTGAGAACGATTTTGAGTCACATCATCAATTGTCTCCAGCCGTCATTGGTTTTCACCGTCCCGAGGACTCCAACCAGGAAGTCTACACCTTCCTACGTGGCTAGCTTACACTAATTGTTGTGGATTTCATTGACTAATGCCATGGTTTGACCGCCACTAGATCTTTTCCAGCCTGACCCTATGTCAGCTAACATTGCCCGTCGAGGAAGGCGATGGCCATGCATACGTAAGACATGTCCTAACCATCTCAGTCGATGTAAATTCACGGCCTCATTGATTGATTTCCCCTCCTTACCTAGCACTCGACGCTTAACCTCAATATTGCTGACCTTATTATACCATTTCACACGGTAGATTGAACGTATGCACCTATGATCGAAGACAGCTAATCAGCATTTTCATGTCTTCCACTCTCAATGGCCAGGTCTCACAGCCATAAAGGAGGACGGAGCGGACTGATGAGCAGTACACACGCCCATTGGTGGATAGCCAGCCGGATATCACGTCTACACCAGAGACGGTGTAAACTGGCATATGCGAAACTAGCCCTCTGTGTTAGTGCTGAGATTTCGTCAGAGATCAACCCGTTAGCACTGGCTGATGGTACTTCCCAAGTAAGTGAAGCGGTCAACGTGCTCTACCACTTCACTTCCTATTTCTAATCTAGGGGTCGGTGTAGTCCAATCCTTTAGCCTCATCATCTTGCATTTGGCGGGAGAGAATCGCATGCCAAACATTTGTAGATTGCAACTCAAGGTGTTCAGAAGACTCTGCATTTTGTCAGTTTCCTCGCCTAGAAGGACTATATCGTCTGCATATATATCAGTTAATCACCATGGTAACCAAAGTTAATTAACCAATAGTACAACTATGTCACCAGTAATTCTATAGAGACTTGTTTACCCATGTTTTGGTTTCATTGTTCCAAGTAATTCACTGTATCATCTCTACTCTGATATAATTAGTGACTAAAAGTGCTTCGTTTCCATTTTATCACAAAAAGTATATCTCAGTCATATTAGACC